AAAATAATTTTAACTAAACAGCATTTATTAAAAAAAATCTTGCTTCTCTATAATGGAATAAGAATATCTGTTTTAAAGGTAGGTTAATATATTATAACAAAAATATCATCTAATTTTGTAATTTTAAGGTTAGAAAAATTTATTTTGACCAAAATAAATAAGTATTTTGGATTATTTAAAAGACTGTATAATATGGTATTTAAAATTGTGGTGGTTTTTCTTATCCAGCTTAAAGTGTAACTACATAAAGTTTTGTCAATACAAATAGTTAAAAAGCTTCGATTGAACTTGATCTACATCGAAAAATCATTATAACTTTAAAAATTTTATTAAATCACTTGTCATGGGAGTATTAAATATTTTCACATTGCAAGTTTCTCTAAAAATTGTTTGTTTTCTTATAATCTATCTTAAAGTAGGTATGCCGAGAGGTATGCACAAGTTTTGTCATTAGAAGTATAAAAGCTTCAATTTAATTTGAACCATATTCAACAATTATTTAGTATACCTATATTTATTTATGACCATATTAACACACTCTTCCAAATAATCCACATATTTATTTTGGTCAAAATTGATTTTTCGAACCTTAAAATACAAAATTGGGTGATATTTTTTGTTCTAATACTAATGTACTGCCTTTGATACAGATATTCTTATTTCATAATGGAGAAGTTAGATTTTTTTTAATAAATGCTGTTTAGTTAAAACTATTTTATGGAGAAATGTAGACCCAATGCACAAAAATATCACTCATATTGCACCTTATACTTTGAAATTTCATTAAATGCAGTATTTATATTAATAAATTCTTAAACCAACCATTGTTATTGTGATACTATAAAGATTTATTAACTTTTAACTCTTAAACATAAGCGGTAACACTATAAATATTATTTCTTTCATTGACTATACTTTGACAGATACATAACCTGAAAAGCCTTAAATGCCAAATTTTCAAAAGACTGCGTTCCGTACGTGGTCACGTGGTGGGACTTTGAGGTGTGGAGCATAGTACCTAAGGTGGTACTTTTTTTATAGCCATTAATTAATTTTAAATATACATACCCAAGCAACAATTTAAGTATTTGTTACGTATATGGGACTATTGAAGAAACTTCAAAGTGTTTTGCGACAGTCGCCGGTCTCTTTATATTACTCTTTTATTACTACGTTACGACTAAAGTGGGGAACAATTATTGAGTTCCAAAAAGGTAGCAAATATGTCACTAGCTACCAACCCTGCTACTATTTGGGACGTAGCTGCTACGTTACTAGAACGTTCCAATATCGTTGCTAGAGCGTTATAATTACTTTTATTATTTGTTTTTACTTCTATATTAACTGTCTTTGTCAAACTTATATTAGATTATACTATCCCTCCTTTTTTAAATGGAACCACTACGGACTTGGCTTTTCAATGTCGTCGTTTATTAAATATGTATGTAGTTTATAACTTCCAGAATAACAATATAATATTTAATTAGACAGGTAGATTTATAAACCCTTTAAATTTTACTGTTGAACTTATGAATTTAGTTTTTGTAAAATAAATGCGCTTCATCAATATTTAAGTATAAACAAATTATTTATTTAGTAATGTTTATAAATAAAAAAATCTTAATATTTATTATTATTTTTTTTATTTAATTATTAATACCGTCTATTACCAACAATATTTCTATTTATTAAAAAGTAAACAACCATTTACAAACAATTAAAATAATTTATTATTTACATTACCACGTGGTACTGTACAGTAAAAAATGGCCGATAAGAAGCATTTTCCTTTGAAGTAGTTTTCGCTACTTTAAAGTTTTTTCCACTTTACGGTTGTTTTGGTTAGTACCATAAACGTTCCAAATACTAAAATAATAACTTTTAAGTTATTAACTTTGTAGTTTTTAACTCATGTTCCAGTTTCGAGATTTTAACTTGCAAAGGGACTACAAAGTAAAAATAATTATAATGTAATCTTTAGGTAGCAACCGAAAGTAACTGCTACAAATTAAATTTACTTGAAAGTTTTTTTTACTTATAACATCTTTTTTAAAGTTGCAAAGTCTTCTTGGGGGCAACCAAGTTTTACTTAAATGTTTATTACTTTAAAGTAACAATTTAAGGAAAAATTAAGTTTCTGTTACAAAATATTGCTATTTAAAAGTTAGAATTACTTTTAAGTAAAAATTAAAGTAGCTGTTTAGTATACTTAACTAATTTAAAGTTATCACCACTTTGGCAATGGTTTTTGGAACCAAAAATGCTGCTTGGGTATACATTTCTATTTTATGAATTTGCAAAATATTTATTGTAATAAATCAAAATTAATCTATTTCCGTCATTTATCCTTTATTATCATAATTGCATTTAGTTTGGATGAGCGAAGGTATTATAATCAGAAAACTTTCCTGCAAGTTTTGACGTGTTTTTCTCTATTAAATCAGTTTAAATTCTTATTTAAAATTCAAATTAATATTTTCAATTTCAGTTTTGATAAGTTTTATTAGGGATTACAGTATCACTGCATTGCAATGTCCGTAATAATAAATTTTATGTTTATATTATCAACATGTTTTACTTAAAGTGTCTGCTGTTCCCAGAAATTTGATTAATTTTATTAAATTCATTATGAGGATCATCAACATATAAATTATGGGGAAACTTGGGACCAATAGATTATTAATATTATTAAAACAACATTGGTATGTCAAAATTATGTTTAAAGTTTTCAAGCGGAGTTATATTTAAGCCTGTCCAAAACTCTGCAAACCCAAAATCAGTTAAACATTAACATGATAACTTAGCTTATGATTTATGTATTAATATACCTTTTTTAGAGAACTCAAATATAAAAATGGTGAATTTTAAGGTTATGTTTGTGCAAAAATAATTTTTTACCAATTTCTTAAAAATGTACAAACTTAAATATAAATTATATTAGGTAAAGTTATAATTAGTTAATTCTTCACCAACAAATGTACTTACCGAATTGGATCCTTTGGCAAAACATGAAAATGCAACAATTTAGTTCTTGAATTTTATTTACAATTAAAAACACAATAATTCACCATGATCCCTTAGATAAAATACACACACTAACGTAACTATATAAGCATTTAAGCGTTGAGTTTCTAAATCAATGATATAAAGAATAATGAATCGAAATCGAGTACTAAACCAGATTTTTAGTTTTTTCCTTGCAACGTAAAACACAAATAACGTGCGCGATTTAGCTGTGCAATTGAACAAAAGTTGTCGAGTAAGAAAAAACTACCTATTTATTTAAAAATGAATGTTATTTTTGAGTAATATTTTAAAGGAAATCATCTTAAATTGGTTAAGGGAAACATTGACTGACTCTATCGTTTTCTATGAATTATTCATGGAAAACGGATTGTAAGTTACATATGCGGAAATTCTCAAATACGTCAATGGGGATCAATGCTATTTTTACAAATCCATTTTCAGAATGTCTTCACTGACAAAATGTGTATTTTATATTTCTATATAAATTTAAAATACACAAAATCAAATTTGCCTAAAACAACAATAATTATAATGGAAAGTGAAAACTTTATAAATTAATGCATTTTCTTCTTTTAAAAATCTTAATTAAAAATTTAAATATTTAATATTCATTCTTTCAATGTTTTTTATTTGACTTTCTACTTCTTTGTAAGAAATTAAAATGATAACAATTAGACCCTTTTTACCAATGATTTTATTAAATTAAATAATTTATGTATCTTTAATCAATGATTACATTTCGTTTCTAATATGTTAGTAATATATAGGTAGCGACATCTACATATATAGAAAAGTAGTATACGAGCTGACTAATTAAATGAATTCTATATAGAGAGTGGCTCCATCTATACGTTGGATATAACAACCTCTACTTTAAAATAAGAAAATCAATATTTACGAGAAAATTTAGAGAAATCTTTGGTAAACAGTTAACATAATAAATATGAAACTCAAGATTCCTAAGTCAAGAACGCTAAAAAAAAATATTGTAGATAAATTAATGGACAATCGCTCACATTTTAAAAAAATACTAAAAAATAGACGTAACTTTATAATATACAGGTTTAAACAAAAATATGTTTTTTAACATAAGTTTAAGACACTCTGTAGAGTGGCAAAACCGTATATTGTTCTAAATTAAGTCACATCTATTCTTAACAGTTTTGTTTTTGGTTCACCTCGATATATTTATTTTTGTGGAAAATATGGGTTTTTTTTAAAAAACATTGCAATTTCCAATATTTTTCTGTATGATGAACTAAGGTTGCTATGGTCCATCCATAGGCTATGGAGAATGACAGTGACAGTTTTGTTGAATCATCCCATACTTGGACATGTCATACACGGCTTTCAAAACCTATCAAATTGTTTTTTGCAAATTAATATTTAAATTTTGAGGTGTCTTCTTACTTTATAAAATGGATATGTCTCCGACTGATGTTGCCAGGATGGACGGTCACAGTATTACGTGGCAAGTGTTTTAAACGTCATAAAAAGTAAAGTACAAAGGGCAACATCAGTCAGAGACATTTTTAAAAGTAAGAAGACACCTCAAAATTAACACATTAATTTACAAAAAACTATTTGATAGCTTTTGAAAGCTGTATATGACATGTCCAAATATGGGATGATTCAACAAAACTGTCACTGTCATTCTCCCTAGCAACCTTAGTTCTTCATACAGGAAAAATATTGGAAATTGCAATGTTTAAAAAAAAAAACAAAAATATAGAACTCTTGTTTTACAGTATTAATTTTAATTGTCCAATAACTATAAAGCGTCCGAAAACTGTCTATTTTACCCTACAGAAGTTTCAATCGATTTAAATTTAAAATAAAATTGTTCAGCTCCTCAACGCTAGATGTCGCTACAAATTTAATCAATACATGGGCGGATTTGGCTCAAGTTTAAACATATGCACATAAAATAATACAAAAACATTAATAACTAATAAAATTATAAAAATTTTTAGATCACAGTAAACACCACAAGGATGCAAATGGTCGTATGCAGCGAAGTCACAAATCCATAAAATCTCCAGAAAATGCAAAACCACACAATGAAGTAACAAATAAAAAAGTAGCCGTTGTGCAAGCTCAAACTGGAACTGTGGCCGTTTTGCATTGCAAAATTAAACATAACAATGTTACGGTAAGATATTTTACATAAAGATTATTTAGGTAGGTATGTTTATTTAACATTTAGTTCAGTTATTTGGTAGTTTTACATTATAACTTGATGAAAACTTCCTTGTTTCGTTTTTGTTGGACCACCCTGTATAAGCCAATTTTGTTTGTGTTTGGTGGTACGTTTATTTCTTCATAAATTGTCGTATGTTTAGAATTAATTGTTTTAATCAAGGACCTTTGTTAAGGATTATGACCTATCAGAGGCCACTTTTCATCAAAATAGTTGGGATATCTATGTAATGTGCCTTTAGTTCCTTAGAAAGGGGTAGATAAAGTAGGTATGTATGTCTGCCTAAGGGCAAAGCTATAAACAGGCGCCAAAATCACTATAACTGTTTTATATTTTGTACACAGTAATAAAAAAAATCTAAGCAACACAGGTCCAAGTAAGCAAGTATGATTTAACACTATAGCACTGAGGATAAAGTAATTTTACAATGTATTAAAAATTGTTAATTTACCTAAAATCGTGTACTTCTACACTTCCTGGGTAAAATTCCACTTTTGTTCAGTGTAAATTAACACTACTTTGGAAAAGTTCTAATTTTAGAAAGGTACTTTTATTCTTTTAGTGCAAATTTCTAGTGTAAATTAACACTATTATTTGAGTAAAACCTATTGGTGGTAGTGAATAAAACGAGAAGGTAAATAAAGAGAAACATTTATTTGGAACAAAAATCTATGACAATTATCAAAATCGGTGCCTTTTAAAATATAATTTTATATTTGAGTCGTATGGCTGGCTTAAGCCAAATGGTTTCTTAAAACGTAAAAGTTTTAGATAAATGCAATGTTTTACTGGCTGTCAACTTGTAAGCAATGAATTATCTTGAGAATTCATCAGTAATCCATTTTTCTGTTATAAAAAATAGGTGATCCCATTGGTAGAGACGTCAGGCGGCTGTATGTGGGGGATTTACCACACGTGTACAAATTTTCCATAATATTGATAAAACTGTAGGTATAGGTTAATATAACAACCATTACGCTTGAAAATAAAAAGTAAATCAAGTGTGTATGTATTTATATTATTAATGTTACAAGTACCCGACTTACTGCCGTAAATTATTGATATATAATATAGGTCGGGTATGGACATCCTTTTAACATATTGGTATTTATTGAGTATTAAGGCTTAAAGAAAAAGGAAGTGTCCCCTTATGGATTCACCGTAATTAAAATCTAACTGAACAAAAATGCCACACTTCCACAACGCGGTATCTCCGGATATGCACTGCGTAGGTAGATAGGTACCAACCAAACATTTTAAAACGCATTTCGGTTATTACCAGTTTTTTCAGTCTATTTTGCCACTATTGGTGTAATTTAACTTTAATTGTGATACAATGTGCACTAGTAGTGTAAAGAAAAAAGAGCTCTTAGTAACATCAAAACAGACAAAGAAATTGGCATGCACTGTAGTGTACATTTTGTAGTAATAAACACTCGCATTAAGTTTTTCTACCCTTTTGATTTATTTTAATAATAAATTGTGTGAATGTACCAATGAATAATGCTCATAGTCTTTAAATATGTTTAATAAAGTTAATAAGCACTAAATGCTACCTAGTGTATTTTTTACTGTGTATATAAATAAAAACTAAGCCACACTAATTGGCTCCAACGTTTTAAGAAAAAAAATATATTACTTGAAATGTTTCCAATTTCTAATATTGATATTCATTCCAACGAATTTGTTGGGATTTGGCAATAACCTTGCGCAAGCAATGTAAACCTGCATGTTTACAATGACGTTGCAGTCTAAAATCCTCGGTAGAGTCAAATTTAACACATTGTAACTTTCTTGGCTGGGATCGGCTTTGAATAAAATGAAATTTCCACTTTGAAATGTTATTTGCGATGCTACAGTAAAGCTCTGGATTACGTCTGGCAATTTTTGCAGGAGATTGATACTGCAACATTTGAAAACTATTAAATGTTTTTGTTTTAAGGTGTTATGGCTTAAAAAACAAGGAAATGACAGCTTCACTCTTCTTACTGTAAATGCTTCTACCCACTCTTGGGATAAAAGATTTTACGCTTCAAATGAAAAGGATAACAAGGTATTTAGTTTGTGGGTATAGAATAATACTATAGAGTTATTCTTTGTAGGATTGGACTTTGCATATAATGTATCCCAAGGAATCTGACCAAGGGTTATATGAGTGCCAAATATTCACCGAACCCAAGACAAGGGTTTTTGTAAAGTTAGAACTAATTGGTTCGTATTTATAATATTGAAAAACTTTTGGCACGTAGTTAAAATTTCAGAAGCAAGAGCTGAGATATTTGGGGGAAGCCCCAAAATCGTGAAAGCCGGCTCCCCTTTAAGACTGAGTTGCGTCCTGCGTAGGTCCATCGACCCCCCTATGTATATTTTTTGGTATCACGAAGACAGGATGATAAACTATGATCTGATGGGTGGGGCAGCCGTTCGTCATGGTAGACAAGGAAGCGAATTGGTCATACCAAGAGCCGAACCTGAGCACGCTGGTAACTATAGTTGCGTACCGTCAAACGCTAGACAAGTCAGCGTGCTTGTAGATGTAAAACATGGGCACAGTAAGAAGGTTTGTCAACATATATTCATTAAGTTATTGATTTTTTTTAAGGTGAAAAGCAGGCTGCAATCCAGTCTGGAACAAAGACGTCAGCCGTGAAAGCAACGTGGTCTCAAATGTATTTCTGGAACTTCATTGCCATGCTGATTCCAATTCTGACCTTCCACCTAAGCAGATGACACTGCCAACTGTAAACGTGACAATATTATACTAAGTTAATCAATGATGAGTGCTTGTCACTGGAATTAAATTCGTTAACCGATGCAAACTGATTTTCATATGTTCCTAATTTCGGCACTTATTCTGTTTCTCAATTTAGTCTAGTCTAGAAGTATTGACCCTTCTATGAAACCTTTTCTTCCGATCCACCGTATAGTTGAAGACTTATCCTTTCATTAGAAATATAAGGTTCCAATGGATTTTGAAACAACTTTGCTAAAGTTAGGACAACTTGTTCTCTTAGCATTTCCAGATATCTTGAAGAAGAAATAACATTTCTGTTTAATGGAAGCTTTTTTGAAAAAACTTAAAATTATAAAATTTCGAATAACGAATTTTATACCATAAGTGAAATCCTATATCGAACCCGGTAAAATTAAATTGAAATTTAATATCTTTAATGTATATTGAATTTGGTTTTAAGACTTAACAAGACCAAAAGTGTCCAGATTTCGTTTAAATATTTTAAATTGTTATATTTTTTTATTTTATATTCTATTTAAAATTATAATACCACTTTTTTAGACATTCTAAATACTCAATATACACTCAACGGCAAAATAATCGATCCACACAAATTTTCGATGGTTTAAACAAAAATATGTTTTTTACCATAAGTTTAAGACACTCTGTAGAGTGGCAAAACCGTATATTGTTCTAAATTAAGTTTTATTTATCAAGTCACATGTATTCTTAACAGTTTTGTTTTTGTTTCACCTCGATATATTTATTTTTGTGGAAAATATGGATTTTTAAAAACAACATTGCAATTTCCAATATTTTTCTGTATGAAGAACTAAGGTTGCTATGGTCCATCCATAGGCTATGGACATGTCATACACGGCTTTTAAAAGCTGTCAAATTGTTTTTTGCAAATTAATGTTTAAATTTTGGTGTCTTCGTACTTTAAAAAATGGATATGTCTCCGACTGATGTTGCCAGAGCCATTAATTTAATCCAGGATGGACGGTCACAGTATTACGTGGCAAGTGTTTTAAACGTCACAAGAAGTAAAGTATAAAGGGCAACATCAGTCGGAGACATTTTTAAAAGTAAGAAGACACCTCAAAATTAACACATTAATTTACAAAAAACAATTTGATAGCTTTTGAAAGCTGTATATGACATGTCCAAGTATGGGATGATTCAACAAAACTGTCACTGTCATCCTCCATAGGCTATGGATTGACCATAGCAACCTTAGTTCTTCATACTGAAAAAATATTGGAAATTGCAATGTTTTTTTAAAAAAATCCATATTTTTCACAAAAATAAATATATCAAGGCGAACCAAAAACAAAACTGTTAAAAATAGATGTGACTTGATAATTAAAACTTAATTTAGAACAATATACGGTTTTGCCAGAGTGTCTTAAACTTATGGTAAAAACATATTTTTGTTTAATCCTGTATATTATAAACGTACGTGTATTTTTTAGTAATTTTTAAAGTGTGAGCGATTCTCCATTAATGTAGGTATATACAATATTCTTTAATATTTGTTTAAATCCGAAATCAAATAAAAAAGTTATTTGCGATTGAAATTCATCAAAAATGTGTGTGGATCGATTATTTTGCCTGTGAGTGTACATATATTGAATCAAAATTTATTTAAATTATTTATCGCTGTACATAAACATTGTATATATAACAATCAGTATCAGCACCATATTATTTGTTAAATGAAACATAATATGTACAATTAATGAATGTGAAAATTAAGGTTAGATAGATCTGACAGTATTCAAAGATTTAAAAGTCAAAAAAAGGAAGGAAAATGAAAATCATCATAATGAGAACTATGTACATTTTATTAAATAAATATTTTTACAATTACATTACAGTTATAAATCAATGGTTAACAGTGAATATTTTGTTTTATTATTAAACATTTTAACAAAAAATAATTATATATCTATGTAATAGGTAAGTCTATGTAATTAACCATTTTATCAGTTGTTTATAATTTAAAATGACATGTATACATAAAGGACCTATGTTAAGATTTCCTAATCTATTTTTTGTTAATTATTTTACCCTTATGTACAAAATCTTTTTATTAAATAATTACGTATATTAATATATATAAATATACAATAAAGTTAATATTTTGAATAATAATAATAATAAGTGTCAAAAAAATAACAATTAACTTATTTCATACATAATGGTAATTGTTATTAACAATGGGGGATAATATATTCCAATAATATTATAGTTTGTTTCCATATAAAATTATTTTTTGCAATTTCAACTACATAGTATTTAACAGGTCCAAAAACAAACAATATAACAATATTAAATTAAACAATAAACAATTGTGTACTTATTTATTATGGAAATGTCAGAATGTGAGAATATTAAACTTTATACATATGTTCAGACTTTTCTTATGAAATCTCACACTTAATGGACTGTGAACACACACAATATAAATGTAGTAACTTTTTTTACAAAAGTATTATTCACTTGATATTAGCACGTTAAATTTAAAATTAATAAAAACATTCCTTATTACTTAGGTTTAACTTACACAGTTTAACCTAGCACAGTAAAATCACGATTGAGGATAATAATAACCAAGATGACGGACTACACTGAAGCCAGGAAAGGCCTCTGCCCCCATGTTGCATAGCAGCAGGATTTTCGCCTGAAAATAGAAAAAAAAGTTTCCTTACACAACAAAATATGCGGCTGTATATTACGTTGCTGTAAAACATCGCCGAACAAAAAAATATGCACCATTATCAACGTAGCAAAAGCTGAATACTGTGTCCGCGATATTTCACGTTGCAAACACTAAATTACGGACATTTGCTTGGAAAAACACCATGCATGCTAAGTAAATGTATGCATTAAACACATCTCCCATCTCCCGCTTACTCAATTTAAAAAGGTTTATTTCTTTAGCTCAATTAGAACCCAGTTTCCATTTACATCTCTAGGATTCTCTACAGCCCCAACATACGAGGTGTGTTCGGTTGTCATAAAATTTTCTTTATTATGTTGGTATATATGCCCCCGAAGTATGATAAAAACTTTAGCTGTTTTCATTGTTTACTTTGTCTGTGGTAAGGTTAGACGTGTTTCATGAGCTCGGCGATTTTTCGTTCGTTAAAAGAAATGGATCAAAGAATTTGTATCCAATTTTGCTTAAAAAATGAAATAAATTCTGTGAAATGTTAACAAAGGCCTATAGTGAGCCTGCTATAAGTAAAACAAGAGTTTACAAGTGGTATAAGAGTTTACAAGATGGCCGTGAAGACGTTGAAGATGACGAACGCCCCGAACGCACAAGCACATTAACAACCGATAAAAACATGGAAAAAGTGAAAGAAATGGTTATAAACCATCAGAGAAGTCGCGGATGATGTTGGTATATCGATTGGCTCATCCCATGAATTTTTTCGAATGTTTTGGGTATGAAACGCGTGGCAGCAAAATTTGTTCTAAAATTGTTAAATTTTGAACAAAATTTTTGGCCAAAACCAATACTGTAATGATGCCCCAGCCTCCATATTCGCCAGACATGCCTCTGTCTGACTTTTTCCTATTCCCAAAAATAATGAGAACCTTAAAGGGCCGTCGTTTTGCAAGCATAGATGACATTAAAAGCGCATCGCTGAAATAACTAAAGGCTATCCCAAAGATCGAGTTTTAGAAGTGTTTCGAGTATTGGAAGAAGAGCTGGCATAATATCCAATGGGGACTATTTTGAGGGCGACAACGTTAATGTAGACGAATAAATGAATATTTGTTTCAAAAAACGAAAATTTCCGATATTTTCTGAACACACCTAAAGTGGTATCCATAATATTCTTGTTATCTCTAGTTATAAAACTTGGGTTTTATAGTGTTACTAAAATAGGTACGGGTATAAATATTTATGTAACCAAATTAAGAATTTTAGGTTTTATAATTTGGATGATATAACATTTATGGAAACCACTATAAAAACATTACCAAAATCCATTCAACGTAGTAAGTTAAAATTTAAATAATGTATAATACATATATGCAAATTTACCTACAGTTTAATTGTAATATTCTTGGTTGCTTTTTTAATATGATATCACAGCTGACGTAAAATAAATGTGGAAGAATGTAGATAGATGTTCATTTCCTAAAAAATTTAAATCTCAAATGCGATTTGCATTTTTTTATTCACATTCTGCTATTTTATATGCTCATATTAACTTTAAACCAGTTACAGACAGATACCTAGATAGATATAGAAAACGGCGCAGTAGATAATAAAACAATGTTAACATTTCGAGAGCAATAACTTATGAAAACGTTTAGACGAAAGTAAACATATTTCGGAAGTTGCACCTCAAAAATAAATTAACTGGGATATCGAGAAAGTTAATAAATATCGGAAAACAAGGAGTTAGTTACAAGTGGTTATTATTTATGACTCCAATAAATCGTTACGCCATGTATCATCGTAAATTTTACTAGCTTTTAAAATTAATTAGCACAGGCAACTGACGTATAAAAAGTTACATAATTATAGATTTATTGTGTTTTGATCTTTAATAATTAAGTAGATATTACAGCTCAGGTTCCAGATTTATAACCGCAATTAATTATTTTTTACAATGTTTTAAAAGTCAAAAACCTATCCTCCGTGACTCTTTCTAGGTTAACCTACATGTTTTCAAATATCTGAGGTAGTAAAAGCATACTAAAAATATCAATTCACTAAGTAAAGCAATCGAATCAAATATAAAATATTATTAAAAATTAAAAGAAATAATTTTTATAACTATTTATGTAGGTGTTGATTGATTCTATCCTCCGTGAATCTGTTTTTGCTTTAAATTTTATGCAACGAATAATCATTTTAAATAAGAAAAAACCTCTGTTTACGACATTATAGATGCATGTGATTCCTGAAGGTCAGTTAGAATTTATATGCAGATGAGAGTGTTGCTGTTTTATAATTCATTAATTTGCTAGTTAAAAACCTATGTTATTACTAGACCTGGTGGCTTCCCAAAAACCCCATTCTAGACTAACAGTGAAACAACCAACCCATTTAACAATGAAAATGATCCTTCGTCCTTTATTACTTGATATTGCAGATACAGTCCAGGAGGTTGGCTTAGCAGAGCAGCATAGTTAACTAACACTCAGATGATATTTAATTTATAAATCGGAAAATTAACTTCTAAAACTTTGGTCAATGATATGGTTCGATATTTAATCAAGCGCTCTGTATTTTCACTGATATTAAATAAAGCATATGATAGATTAATATTTCTCTCAATATTAATAAAGTTCGCTAACCAAATTAAATTGGGCAGATGTCGATCGAAGGTCTAATATGAGGGATTTTACGCATATTTACGAAGAAAATGACTTCAAACTAGTCTTCCAGCTTTTCTCTAATCTTGAGATTACCATGTCCGCTCATCTCTTTGATATCCTAAGATGTAAGCGGAATATCCTTTTATAATTGCCATTCCACCAGACTGAAATTAAATTATGAACTTAATAAAGTTACCTAAAATTGTCCAGTAAATAATTTTGCCATACATTTGTAGGACTAAATCCACATATGTACCTTGGACCTCTTAGGAATTGTCTAATGAGAATCAAAGGAATGATTCTATAGTTTGTAGTATTTTCAAATTTTAAAATAAAAGGCAATTTTTAATTAAAAAAGAGGCATTTCTACATTTTAAGTGGATTCTAATCAATGGCAGTTCTGGTGTTGCGAATACGAATACGAAGCAAAAATAAGAAGAGTGAAGCATTAAGATAACCCTCAACAGTGGGGTGGGTACACAGGAAAGATGATGAAAGTAAATTTAATCTTGTTTTAGAAACTTCGATTAATAAGTTTACGTTATGTTGAGCGGTGCATAAGAAAATGAAAGTTACACCTCAAAGGAAAAATATTGAGGATGGTTAATTATAATTAGGTATGGAGCTGAATATAAACTTCATAAACCTTTGTTGGTTACTTTTTTCCTAATAAACACAGAGTTCAATAAATAGTAGCAGGAACAAGTCTGAGAAAACCAAACAAAAACTGATGGAAATGTACCAATAAATCAGCTCAACGTTGGCGTAATACTGCTCTCCGCACAAAATATGGCTTAAACTGAATGTTGTGTAATAAAATGTTGCTATTTATTTGCCATTGTTTCCTGAAATAATTGGCTATATGCCACAAATGATAAGGGTTACAGCAAAACTTTTTTTGATACGGCGGCCTAAATTCCCATATTATTTATTGCCGATGAATTATCTTTATGTTGGATAAAAATTAAGTTGTAAAGTAATATTTAAAACAAAATTAGTGGCAAATACGTCATATTATTTTTAGTTTAAGTTTGACTGCAATATTTTAATTGTATATAATTGAAAAACTTTAAAATTATAAGTCATGCATTTGAGCCTTGCATAGCATGCTATTACTATTTTCATAACAAATCGTACAAATTTTTATCCAATACAACTTTTAACATTGTATTAGGGCCAGATTTTTAAAGCGACATATATAGAACAATAGAGAAGAAATGGAACGTTTAATCCCTTATAGAAACAGTTTTTCACAGTGAATGTAAAGAAAATGTTTTATTGTTCAGGTTCCAAATTTTTAACCGGAATTAATTATTTTTACAATGTTTTAAAAGTCTAAAACCTATCCTCCGTGACTGTTACTCTTTCTAGGTTAAACTATATGTTTTCAAATATCTGAGGTAGTAAAGCATACTAAAAATATCAGTTCACTAAGTAAATTAAACACATCCAAAGCAATCGAATCAAATATAAAATTTTATTAAAAATTAAAAGAAATAATTTTTATAACCATTTATGTAGGTTTTACAAAAATTGATTCTATCCTCCGTGAATCTGTTTTTGCTTTAAATTTTATGCAACGGATGGCGCTTTAATCATTTTAAATAAGCAAAAACCTCTGTTATAGATGCATGTGATTCCTGAAGGTCAGTTAGAATTTATATGCAGATGAGAGTGTTGCTGTTTTATAATTCAAATGTTTAAGTTCATTAATTTGCTATTTAAAAACCTGTAATATCTCAGTAAGTAGTAAAACTAACTTCAGCGGTAATGGGCTTGTTAAAGGTGAAAGTAGAAAAAAATATTTATATTACCTACTTTAGATTTTTAACATGTTGGTTTTTTAAGCTAGTTTGCATGGTAATAAAACCGTTGGTTTCTGCGGTATAAACAAGAAATGCGTATTAAATTAATAATGCATTTTGTATTTCAGTCTTGGAGTAATATCTCTTACAGGCACACAGCGACGCGACGTGTCGTTCGCAATTTTAATATAAATGCCCCTAGACGCTCTGCAAAATTGATGTGTTGTTCGAGGTTACACTAGTAAACTTTACCTAACCACCAACCCAACTGTGTTGGGATACATTTTAATTTTCAGATGAGCATTATTAAAAAGTCTTCTTGAGAAGTTTATGATGTGAACTAGCAAAGGCAGATGATGAGATAAAGACACTGTGCAATGGTGATCTTGTAATAAAAAAAATAAAAACTTTCAAAACATAACATGCTTTATTCACCATTCAATATATGAACGTATGTGCTTGCTGGTTGGGCGTTGCTGGGTACGCAAGAATAGTTTCCTGAATGTCTGGTAGCTGCATTTGTGATGGTCAAGGTGCTTGTTTTTTCCAGAAGTTCTGTCGTTACGTTAATCCCTCGATCAACATCGTAGTTGATCATCCGGTTGTTGTGATACCAAAAAACATAACTGGGAGGCTCAGTGCTCTGTAGCACTGTGCATGATAATCTCAGTCCTGATCCTGGTTTAAGGTATTTTTCTGGAGGACCTTGGATCTCAGCTCGCGCCTCTGAAATAAATATTTTAATTATTAGTTCTTCAGGACTTAAGTTTCAAGAAGCTGCAGTCCGTTACATATCGATTAATATGTTATAAGTTATCTCGAGTTTGTAAACTAACATCAAAGATATTTGGTCACAGTATAATTTAGATGGCAAGTTATTTTATCGTATGAAAAGTGAATTAAGACGCGTTTAGTTATTATACACACAGTATTAAAATAAATTATACCTGGTGTAAATTGTACTCCTTTTCAATGTTAAATATAATGTGTTTTTCAAATTAAATCATACTACACAAAAAAAAGGAAACAGGAAGTTCCTTGACGCATTACAAGTATATTACCAGTGGTATTATTCCAGAAAATTGAACCTTTAACTCTCTAGAGATAACGTTTTTAGTGCGTTCCACCAACTTAAAATACTTCAAATATTGACAGCTGTTTCCACCTATTTAAGGTCTCTTTAGTATCGAACAACTTGTAGTGTCACACCAAAGCAAAGGACTACCTGAGCTTATATACTCTTCATGTAAGTCAACAGAGGCGAGATTTGAGAACATCACGTGATCCACACCGCCTTTGCCGCGATCGGTACACACTATGCAACAAGGAATGCACGGCAAAATGTTTTAATCGTTTTAAAAGAGTGCTTTAGGTTGAAGTAACTCTTATTTTACAAATAACATGTTTAGTAAACTGAACCATACAGGGTTAATTTAACCAATTTAAAAAAAATAAAATAACCATCTGGTTTAGTACCGTCAAACTAAACTTTGTTTATATTAACCTTCCCACAGTTGATTTAAATAAATACTTATGGGTCAACTAAATTAATATAGTTAAACGAACTATTCCTTTTTTTCTGTGTAGGTGCACTTCTCAAATATTTTTAGATAAACACCGTTTTGGTGTTTGCTGTATAAAACATTTTCAACCATAATTCATGGTGTTATATTAACACCACTTGGTGTTGGATTTTGACACCATTTTAAGATTACTCTTCACAGATACTTTAAACAGTGTATTTGAAATGTCTAGAAACTTTTAGCTTAATTACTGAAAGTCAACCCACGAGTGTACATCAACAAGTCATAACTTTATTTATAAACTGAAAGGTTATGGCTTGAGGCTGCATCATCCTGAATAATACAACTTTAGAAGTTTAAGATATTCATTTGAACCTTAAAATTTAATAAATAAATCTTTGTTTTATCTTGGTTCTTCAAGTAAATCTGATGGAACACTTCCAGCTTGTTAAGCTATGTAGAAAGGTGCGTTGTCGAGATGAAATATTTCAATTTTCTTTTTGTTCGGGCGCAGATTTAGACAATATTAAAATTAAACGAAGTGGCAAAGCGACATCTGCAAATATTACACATTTTCTTTGCCTGAACGTTATGTGCCACGTGTAGACTACCTCGTCAAATATTTATAAGATCTTAAACGAGTCGGTGATTTCATGAATATCCACTTAGTTTTATGTTACCGAAAATTTTCTTGAATCTTTGTACAGCACGCTGTACAAAGCTTATTTAATCGAATTTCTAAATTTCATAGTTGGAAAGACTTTTCTTCAATTTCAAATTAGGCGTTAACACCTTTTATTTATAAATTGCTTTTGAGAGAAATTTTTCGCAAGAATGAGCATACAAGTATAATATGAAATCATGTGTGAGAGACAAGATTTTTTTAACCTTAAAGGTGCAAAGGGCTTTCGCCGACGTAAATAATTATTGCGGTTTTGTCTTTTCAGATTTTCCGCCATTGACAAGTAAAAATAGAAATAATAAATAAAAGAGAGAAGCGGACAGCTTTGTATTCATACAACAGTAATAGCAAGACTGAAACAATAGAGTCGCTTCTTCAAAGTATTTTTATTTGGCATCGTAAAACCCTTCTTTCCGCACTAGGAAATATGATTAAATCAGAAATTTACGCCAGAAGTGTGTATACATTTTTCTAATAAAATATTTATTTCCCGGCCCCTCACAACTTTTTTACTGTGACGACGGAATCATAAAAACTTTTTGTTGTTTTACTTCAGCGTTGTCTTCTTTATCACCTTTGGGTATTTAAATCAAAGTTTTGGTTTTTACTGCACAGGTATTTTAAAAGCATAGCAATAAATCTTAAAGGGAGATTAGCAAAATTTTTGCACGTGGTCTATTAGCCTCAAACCCAATTAAATATTCAACCAATTAGAAGGGATTCGCTTCGCTTTGACCTTTCTTATCATTCGGCAAACGTAAATAATTTACTGAATTGTCCTTTTCATAATCAAATTTCCATCCTACAAACAACCTTTACCCAAAGAGATTATTCCTGGTCTCACTAAAGATAGGCTTAAACCACCTTACTTTATGGTGGAAAGATCCTATGATGTTTCCAAATTACACATATTTTATTCTTCACTTAACCCAGATAACATTCATGATGATTTCAATATGCACACCAGATAATGTATCATATGAACCATCCTTAACCTGCAAAATGTCTAATACACACTGTTAAACATTACAACTCAATTTGGGGTGAGGTGTGTTCAGAAAACGGGAATTGTTAAATTTCGCGGGTTCGGAGGGTCCGGTTGTCATAACATTTTATTTATTATGTTGGTATACATGCCCCCGAAGTATGATAAAAACTTTAGCTGTTTTCATTGTTTACTTTGTCTGTGGCAGCCGCTAAGGTTAGGCGTGTTTTATGAGCTCGGCGATTTTTCGCTCGTTAAAAGAAATGAATCAAATTTGTATCCAATTTTGCTTAAAAAATGTAATAAATTCTGTGAAATGTTAACAAAGGCCTATAGTGAGTCTGCTATAAGTAAAACAAGAGTTTACAAGTGGTATAAGAGTTTCCAAGATGGCCGTGAAGACGTTGAAGATGACGAACGCCCCGAACGCACAAGCACCGATAAAAACATGGAAAAAGTGGAAGAAAAGGTTATAAACCAGCCTCCATATTCGCCAGACATGCCTCTGTCTGACTTTTTCCTATTCCCAAAAATAAAGAGAACCTTAAAGGGCCGTCGTTTTGCAAGCATAGATGACATTAAAAGCGCATCGCTGAAAGAACTAAAGGCTATCCCAAAGATCGAGTTTTAGAAGTGTTTCGAGTATTGGAAGAAGAGCTGGCACATGTGCATAATATCCAATGGGGACTATTTTGAAGGCGACAACATTAATGTAGACGAATAAATAAATATTTGTTTCAAAAAATGAAAATTCCCGATATTTGAATGATTTGAATATTTCCAAACACTTATTGTAATTTAAATAGCAAATTTTGGTTAGTAATTTTATTGATTGTCTTGGTAAAATTAAATTACGAATAGGTATAGAAATTTTACAAAATTTCATAGTGTAAGCTTATAGAAAATTGGTAACATATTTTTTAACATCATAGACTTTATAATAATATGTGGTAAACGAAGTGTATATCAACTAATTAAAATCAGTTCCAAAAAAATGCACTTGTCGTTTGAGCTTTCCATTTATTTTTTAAATTAAAAGTCCGTTTTTAAAGCTCACTCGAACAATTTTGCCAGTAAAGCTCTTTGTTTTGCCTTTGCCAGTATGTCAATTTAGAAGCTGTGGCAGGCAGCTTTTGGAACAGCAAATTCAATAAGGGATTACTGAACATTGTATCGATCATTTTATCAATGTATGGCGTGTTTTAGTACGTAATGCAAAGGCAAAGGTGGTTTTAAGAATTTAAACCTTTTAAACCAAATGAAAGTCAGTTCATTAGTAGACTTTAGTTTAAGATTACAAGTTTCTTGTCTTGGAGTTGGAAATTTGGCGACAGTATATTTCAACATATCTCGAATCTTGTTAAAAATTGAAAATAGCCTTTGTGCATTGTCTGGGATACTCGATATCGAACTGAAGTGTTCTTCAGAAAAATTGATAGAAAAATATAATTTTAATTGGCACATTTTCGCATGTCCCATTAGCGTTTTATAAAACTTACAACCATACATTTTTTTTAAATATTGAATAACCAGAACTTTGTGTTGCTTTATAGCAATCCATAACATCCTTAGTTAATACAGTAAACAATTTATATATAAAATAATTAATTTTAATCTACATTTTTTAAATTTGACTCATGTCCCAGACATTTTTTCCGTTGCGTTACGTCCGTCGCGTTACCGATAGAATATTTAAAAAACATATATATGGCAACTTTTTTGGTACTCACGTGATCAACAAATGATGTTCGGACGTACACATTACCCAGCTGAATTTATTTATTCAATCAGGAAGAAGATATCGGTTGAAACAGATGCGGGTAACGCGAATGTAATAATTGTTTGTCCGCTAAGTTACTCAAAAAATAATAAAAATAATGTAAGAAAAAATACTATTTTTCATGTTTATGTTTATTTTAGGGTACTTAAGCTCATTGACAGTAATTATTGACTATAATGTCTTATTATTATTATTTATTAAATATGGTTTTACAAAACTTTGTCCACTGCGTTACCGAGTCCACTATGTTACCTTATGGTAACGCAATGGAATTTAGGGTAACGCAATAGAATTTTTCGACAACAAAGTGGATATTTACCGTCGCTTTTATTAAAAGTAGTTTATGATTAACCAATTTAAAATTATTTGTAATTACAACTCATGATATAGATTACATCCAAGGAAAAATTCCACGCATTATAAAAGTACTAAAAGGGACCTTCACCAGCTTATAGTCAAAGAAAAAGGGTGTCTACAATTTAGAAATCTAAGTTTTTATTCTGCAAGTGAGCACCACTACAAGGGATTTTGTTTATGCATTACTCTAAAATCGTACCACCCTATATAGTTTCTTTTTTACGTTATCTGATTAAGTCCTTTGTGTACCCCTGTCCGCTGTGATACCAATGTCTATTTCGTTACTTTTTTTAGTTTTTGTTAAAAAAATACTTAAAATGATTTTTATACACTATCACTTCGTAATACGTGTTTATAAATTAGAGTTTAATTCACTAATACAGTGACTAAAAGAAAATATTAATGGTATTGTTTTTTTAACAAAGAATCGGAATGGTTTCTTTTAAAAAGTAATTTAACAAACATAAATATTTAAAAAACAGCATACAATTTTTAATAAAAAATAAATTAAAAAAGGTTTGTGAACTAAGTACATTTTATTTCATATTATTTTTATAACAACTTTTTTTATTGAATTAAATTTTGGATTTCAAATTGGTAACACAGTGGAGATATATAAAGCTAGCTAAACACATTTTTCTGAAAAAAAACGTAAAAAAAATTAAAAAGTGCACTGCCTGTCTTAAATGTTAGTAAACAAAACTCTAAACATTTATAAAAATCCAACCAAAAGTCAATTTAAGCAAAAAAAATATTTTGATCTTCATGTTTCTATACTATATATTTTATTATATTTATTTACTTATTTCATCAGAATCTAGAAATTTTTCCCAGGATCAGGGAATTCTTTGGATATCTTTTGTAAGTCTTCTTGCACTATTTAGCGGTGTTAGTAAATAAAAAAGCAATACAATAAAAATAAACTTTTAATTTTTTTTACTTACCTACAACTTTGAGCTGTATAAAAATGCTTGTAGGGGGGTGGGAGGACACTTGACATTCATACATTCCAGCGTCCCTCTGTTGGACATACTTAATTTGCAGAGTCCAATCCTAAAACAAACATTTTTAATTTGTTTAAATGGTTTTTTAAAGATATTGTAGTAATTGTTATAATATTAAATTTAGTTTTATAAATAATATAACAAATGTCAATATATTCGGGGAAAATTATCAATTGCGCTCCATGGTCACTTTTTACCTGCCAGCATTAAATCCTTTAATTTAAAGGATTATTGTACTATTTTTAATAAAAATACCTTATTTAAGGTAAAAAAACATTATTTTGTCATTTATCTAATTTAATCCTTAGGTATAAAAAATGGTATTTAGTTATGAAAAATAATTATTATTAAGGAATAAAGAAACTATTTATACATAGTTAAACATTATTTAATCAGATTAGTTTGCAAACAAAAATACCTCCTTTCGTTAAGCAGTTATTCATAATGGATTTTTTAACAGTGGAAGAAAAAATAGAAACGATTTTGATTTATGGAGAAGCAGGCAGGAATCTTGATTATGCTGTTAATATCTACGCTCAGCGTTTTCCGGATAAAATTCGATCACGTACTTCATTTCACCGTACAGTCAAGCAGTTTACTGCAAACGGGAGTGTTCAACCGAAAAAAAGAGTTCATCGAGCAACAGTCACAGGTGGAAATAATGAAATTAATGTTTTAGCAGCAACGGCCGCTAATCCTCATGCAAGCACACGAGAATTATCCAGAGATTTGGGAATATCCCAGAGCAGTGTTAGCAGAATATTAAAACGTACCTATTTTATTTAAAAATTATTGGAGAATCGTAACAAAATTGATTTATTTTCATTACAAATATATTACTATACCCTGTATAGTTAACTATGTTATAAGGCATAAAGGTTTTTTATATTTCCAAACTTTTATTAAATCAAACAATTCTTGAATTTACAATTTCAAAAAATAAATGTGGATTTTATATTAACGTTATATTTGCTCTGCGCAAATAGAAAACATGAAAATTTTAAATAAATCCCATGTTGTATTATATCCATTATGTTTTTTAATTATTCGTGGAATTAATATTTATAATAGTATTATTTTAAATACGCCTTGGATTAAAAATGAACAACAATATTTATTATATTATATATATAGGAGGTGTGTTAAAAAAATAACGGGAATTGTTAAATTTCGCGGGTTCGGAGGGTTCGGTTGTCATAAAATTTTCTTTATTATGTTGGTATACATGCCCCCAAAGTATGATAAAAACTTTAGCTGTTTCTATTGTTTCCTTTTTCTGTGGCAGCCGCTAAGGTTAGACGTGTTTTATGAGCTCGGCGATTTTTCGTTCGTTAAAAGAAATGGATCAAAGAATTTGTATCCAATTTTGCTTAAAAAATGATATAAATTCTGTGAAATGTTAACAAAGGCCTATAGTGAGTCTGCTATAAGAAAAACAAGAGTTTACAAGTGGTATAAGAGTTTCCAAGATGGCCGTGAAGACGTTGAAGATGACGAACGCCCCGAACGCACAAGCACATTAACAACCGATAAAAACATGGAAAAAGTGGAAGAAATGGTTATAAACCAACAGAGAAGTCGCTGATGATGTTAGTATATCGATTGGCTCATCCCATGAAATTTTTTCGAATGTTTTGGGTATGAAACGCGTGGCAGCAAAATTTGTTCTAAAATTGTTAAATTTTGAACAAAATTTTTGGCCAAAAACAATACTGTAATGATGCCCCAGCCTCCATATTCGCCAGACATGCCTCTGTCTGACCTTTTCCTATTCCCAAAAAAAAAGAGAACCTTAAAGGGCCGTCGTTTTGCAAGCATAGATGACATTAAAAGCGCATCGCTGAAAGAACTAAAGGCTATACCAAGGATCGAGTTTTAGAAGTGTTTCGAGTATTGGAAGAAGAGCTGGCACATGTGCATAATATCTAATGATGAATGAACACACCTCGTATATATATTATTATTATTTTTGTAGGTTATCAACACTCTTATTAAGTAATTCATTTTATAATTTACTTTGAAAAAGCCACCAAAGGGTTTGTTGAATAATTTTATTAATTAAGTCTTCATTGTCCCTTTGGTTTAATTGGGGCCTTTTAGCTAAAATTTATGAGCCCAATTTAAAAGTGCAGCAGCAATATGAAGGAGAGAGAAGGGGTGAGGCAATATTCGCGAGAGTCAAAAAGTTCAGCTGGGCTTTACATAACGTACTTACAATATTAGAGGCAAATTGAATTAATTCATGCCAAATATGCAAGTTTGTAAAGTTGGCTTTCCATTTAACATAATGGTTTATGTACTACCACACCAAAGATGAATTAATAGCTCCAACTTGCTCAAATTAAGGTTAATGAATTGATTCATGCAGTTTTAACAATAAAAAAGTATTTAAACAGTTTATTTATTTATCTTTGAAAATTTCAACATTTTTTATTTTTGAGTTGTCCACATTTTATGTAAAGTTTCCATAGTTAAGATAAAATAGTACATCTAAAAGTTTATATCCCCTTTGAGTTTAATAGGCCTTATAAAACAATGTGCAGTTTCTTCCTAAACTACTTTCAAATTCATAATTTATAAGACAGATAAGTTGAGTTATTGTCGCAGATTGCAGACTAAGTCGATTTTTTATTGCCCATTTTAACGTTTAGAGGCAGGAACTTTCCGAGCCCCTAAGGAAAAGAATAAAAATTGGCCAAAAAGTGACAATACGCTCTGTAAGGTAATTTACGAGGTGTGTTCAGAAAATATCGGAAATTTTCGTTTTTTAAAACAAATATTCGCCTACATTAATGTTGTCGCCATCAAAATAGTCCCCATTGAATATTATGCACATGTGCCAGCTCTTCTTCCAATACTCGAAACACTTCTAAAACTCGATCTTTGGGATAGTCCTTTCAGCGATGCGCTTTTAATGTCATCTATGCTTGCAAAACGACGGCCCTTTAAGGTTCCCTTTATTTTTGGGAATAGGAAAAAGTCAGACAGAGGCATGTCTGGCGAATATGGAGGCTGGAGCATCATTACAGTATTGTTTTTGGCCATAAATTTTGTTCAAAATTTAACAATTTTAGAACAAATTTTGCTGCCACGCGTTTCATACCCAAAACATTCGAAAAAATTTCATGGGATGAGCCAATCGATATACCAACATCATCAGCGACTTCTCTGATGGTTTATAACCATTTCTTCCACTTTTTCCATGTTTTTATCGGTTGTTAATGTGCTTGTGCGTTCGTCATCTTCAACGTCTTCACGGCCATCTTGGAAACTCTTATACCACTTGTAAACTCTTGTTTTTCTTATAGCAGACTCACTATAGGCCTTTGTTAACATTTCACAGAATTAATTTCATTTTTTAAGCAAAATTGGATACAAATTCTTTGATCCATTTCTTTTAATGAACAAAAAATCGCCGAGCTCATAAAACACGTCTAACCTTAGCGGCTGCCACAGACAAAGTAAATAATGAAAACAGCTAAAGTTTTCATCATACTTCGGGGGCATGTATACCAACATAATAAAGAAAATTTTATGACAACCGGACCCTCCGAACCCGCGAAATTTAACAATTCCCGTTATTTTCTGAACACACCTCGTATAAGGGCAGTTTACATATTTTAAATCTTTAAACCGAATGCACCACCCGAAATTGCTAATTAGACTTCATCGTTATGTCGAACGTATATCAAGTGCATGCTTTTAGAGTAGCTGCTACTAGAATAGGAGAAACCCAAGTGGTTGGTTAGTTTGTTTGCTCAGCGGTCCATAAATCACAAACAAAAATAACAATAAAATTTTTAATGAACCTCTTTCATTTCCACTAATTACTCATAGCTAAAAACCCAATTACGTAGTATGACAAACATGTTAAACCAGAACCTTGTTTTAAATTTTACCAGGGTAAGTCATTTAACTTGAAAGGTAGATTTTGTCTAAAACATTTTTTCATATTTGTAATAAATGGCGCTGTAATGATGAAAAAACTATTTATACATGGTTTAGCATTATTTAATCAATTTAGTTCGAAGATTAATTTGCAAACAAAAAGACCTTCTTTTGTTAAGCAGTTATTCAAAGTTACAATTATTAAACTGAAGGGTAAGTCTGGTTTCCACTCAATTTATTTTCTACTTTCATATTTCTAAGTAAAGCTGCTTTGACTTTTACTTTAATTTAACCTTTACAAAACATCAAATCAGTTTATTTTTTATCGTTGTTTAGACTTTTGAAGTATGTTTGTGTGTTACAAAGTGGTTTTATTGATCTTTTTATTATTCATATCATTCTATAAATCAAATATTTTTGAGTTCAGAAAATGCTTTACTTCTGGGTATATGTAACTTTTCATATATCGCATAATATGTGTTGGAAAAAGGGAAAAGAGACCTCTTGTAGAAAAAAACATTTAGAAATAATTCACATTTTTTGTAATCTGTTCTCCAGACTAGAAAATGCTTTCTCGTAAGTACTGTGTGTAGTATTTACTTAATATCTTTCTAACCAATAAGAGCTAATAACTCAACTGCATCTGTTCCCGAGGACAAATAGGGAGCTGTTAAAATGTAAATTACAAAATTTAGTTTTATTCCTGCTGCATTCCCATTCCTAGCTGATTGAACTGAATTCATCCCAATACAGCAATAGGTTGTGCCGTTTTAAGGCGACGTTGGAGGAACGGGGGGGGGGGGGAAATGGGATGCGGGTCGCGAGTATAAAACTAGTCAAGTGAAGTAAATGGCTTTTCTGACTACAAATAAAATTTCATCAGCTGATAAACGCCGGCATCCTCTTTATGTGCATTTAATTCTGTCTCTATAGACGACGGGCGATATCTTCCTTCGACATTCGCCCTTTCATTTTCTGCTTAATAGAATATCTATCGATGTACACCTACCCCATGTTGCTCACCTAAGGCCATTTGCTTTTATATTAATATATTTTTATCATTATTACCACCCCAGCGACTCAGTTGTCCTTGGTGGCTATCTGTGGCTTCTTTCTGGAGCTCCATTTTAATTGGGAAATATTTCTGCTAATGTGGGAAAAAAAAAGTTTTACAAAAAGTCCAAATACATTTGTCCTGTCATATTCTCGTCAAAGAAAGAAAAGAAAGGAGACATTCAGGTTTTGATGGTTGACTGTACCATCTTGGCCATCTTTGAATGATTTGTATCACTTGTACTATGCTCCACACCTCAAAGTCCCACCACGTGACCACGTACGGAACGCAGTCTTTTGAAAATTTTTCAGGTTATGTATCTGTCAAAGTATAGTCAACGAAAGAAATAATATTATGTTTACAATAACAATGGATGGTTTAAGAATATAAATACTGCATTTAATGAAATTCTAAAGTGTATGGTGCCAAATAAGTAATATTTTTGTGCATTTGGTCCAAATATCTGGTTTTCTCCATACAATAATTTTAACTAAACAGCATTTATTAAAAAAAATCTAGCTTCTCTATTATGGAATAAGAATATCTGTTTTAAAGGTGGGTTAATATATTATAACAAAAATATCATCTAATTTTGTAATTTTACGGTTAGAAAAATTTATTTTGACCAAAATAAATAAGTATTTTGGATTACTTAAAAGACTGTATAATATGGTATTTAAAAATGTGGTACTTTTTCTTATCCAGCTTAAAGTGTACCTACATAAAGTTTTGTCAATACAAATAGTTAAAGAGCTTCGACTGAACTTGATCTACATCGAAAAATCATTATAACTTTAAAAATTTTAATAAATCACATAACATGGGAGTATTAAATATTTTCACATTGCAAGTTTCTCTAAAAATTGTTTGTTTTCTTATAATCTAACTTAAAGTAGGTATGCCGAGAGGTATGCACAAGTTTTGTCATTAGAAGTATAAAAGCTTCAATTTAATTTGAACCATATTCAACAATTATTTAGTATACCTACCTATATTTATTTATGACCATATTAACACACTCTTCCAAATGATCCACTTATTTATTTTGGTCAAAATAGATTTTTCTAACCTTAAAATACAAAATTAGATGATATTTTTTGTTCTAATACATTAACCTATCTTTGATACAGATATTCTTATTTCATAATAGAGAAGTTAGATTTTTTTTTAATAAACGCTGTTTAGTTAAAACTATTTTATGGAGAAATGTAGACCATGTTTCAAAAAAAATCTTGTCCATTGACAAATTTATTTTTATTTTTTTCTTCACTTTGTTAAAAATGAAGAAATTTCATTTTTTTTAAATAACTTTTTTATTTCAAAACGTATCGATTTGAAATTTGGACAAAATGTAGATCTTACTAATGACAATTAATCCATGAAAAGTTTTTAACAATTTTTAAAGAAGCAACTTTGTTATATATAACCAGGATCAGTTTTAAATTAGCAGTAGCAGTATTCATAAATGTTTAGTTTAGTACATTTTGTCATTTGTATACAAATATTGTTGTATCTTTTATTAATCATCAAGTATACCATAACACATAAATGACGTTTAATATACAGGATGTTTCACGTACGTAGTCCGTTAGAAGTTTCTAGAGAATCGCGAAAGACATCGATTTAAAATTTTAATGGCGTAAATTATTCAATTTAGACTTTTTTCCTAAATTATTTTAAACAAAATAATACTTCCTGTTTTACCGGAAATGTCTTAACTTTGTTATTTTAAACAGGACACCTCATATATTTTTACATTTTTAACCATATCCTATACCTAAAGTCAATATTTTTCGAGTTATTAATTTTTTAATCAAATATTTTGATTAATTTTAAACAATGACAGATTTGGTGGTAACCATGGATACTGTCACATTAACCCACATGTGGAATTTCACAGGTTTGTTGATACAAAATAGTATTGAAAATATTACCAATCGAAAGATTCTTTAATGTTCTATTTGATTATGTTAAAACATACAGGGTTTTAAATTTATAATAAAAACGTTATTATTGTTTGGAGTTTGCCTAATTTCAAGTGGTTTTTCTTAAGTTATTAGTTGAAAACCCTATAAAAAATTAAATTATTTAAACAATGTTTTAATATTACAAAAACCCCATGTTAGCAAACATAATAACTAAAAAATTATAGGCTATTTTTGATTAAAGTGCATTTAGCAAAATTTTGACGAAAAAAATTAATATCTAAACTATTGACTTTAGGTATAGTCTAAATCAAATTGTATATGCTATTAAAATTTCAAATCCATATCGTTTGCGTTTCTCCAGAAATACCCTGTATAGCATTATATTAAATATGAAAAAATGCAAAATAACTAATTACAAAAAAGCGAAAAACAACTGAATAAAAAATATACATATATCTAAATAGCCGATTGCAACATAAAAAATAAAGTCTTTATTCTAATTTATTTATTGGGTAAATATTACTTTCCTCAGTTTGGAATTAAAATTGAAGCTTGCTTATCGAGTAAAAAATAAATTGAAGCTTGGTTGTGGAGCAAAAAAAAATTTAAGTGGGTCATAATTTCTAACTTGCTGACACTGTCTATAATTATTATTTAGTTTATTCATTTTAAAAAAATAATGTTTTGAGTTTATTAAATTGTCCCCAGCGCCCCCTGTATGTTAAAATCTTAAAAAATAATACGTGGGTTATTGCCACTAATAAGGTCTACATTTTATCTTAATTTCAAATCGATACGTTTTTATTTGTAGAATAACAAAAACCATTTCCATCTTCTTTTTCTAATTATTTTCTTCCACGTTTAAAATAAAAATCTCGGCCATCTTTGAATGATTTGTACCACTTGTATTCTAACATTTGACACCATTGAACAAGGTTAAGTTACCCATTGTACATGATCTGTGGCAGCATTATAAAGCAGAAAAAAATCTGTAAGCTGTCCATTTCAATAAAAAAATTCGGATATTTTTTGAAAGGGTGTACATTTCTGTGGTGTAAACATAACCGAAAGGGAATAACTATGCAGAACAGGCGTCGCAACGCTTTAGGTCCCTCGCTCTTGTTTTTTCGCTAAGTACATTTGCATATTTGTATACAAGTGACGGTTTTAAAACGACATGTTATAATTTTAATATTTAACTTTCGTTTTCCGACTTTTTTTGTAATTTATCAAGAGTTAACAGGGTCATTTTATGCTTAAATAGAATTGATTTTTCAAGGTCTTTTAGCTTCTCCAATAAAAGTTAAAGTTTATTCAATCAAATATGTTTGGAGCAATTAAGGGTAAGGGATTTATGTTATTACAAATATTATATTCAGCCCATAACAAAATATTATTAAGTTGAAATTACTTGTTAGAGGTAATGGCTCTTTAGATTTAAACCTAATGGAAATGTGTACTTCCTTGAAAATTTTAGAAATGATTGCATTCAAAGTTTATCTGATCAAGGTAAAATTAACAATATTTAATTAAATATAACATTGATTTATATTAAAAGTTATAATGCTTCAACCAAAAAATAAAAACAAATGAAATAAGAATAGTCTTTGTTTCTTTTAATGTTTATGATTTTTATTCCAATGAAAACTAAGGTAAAGTAAGTTATAGTGCCTATAGTTAAATGTGATCAACTGATTAATCGGTATTTCTGGTGACGCCGATTGATGTAAGTGTATGTGTTATCTCTGGATGGGGTAGTGTTTGGTTGTTTGTTATATTTGCTAATTTCTTGGGGGTTATACTTCCTAATCCCGAATTTTCCAGGTAAGTTGTACATGTTTTCTTAATTGTATGTCCGCCATGCATTATCCAGTAATTTAATTACTCAATTATATCTAAATAATAACAAAAAGGTAAATGTGTACTCATATAGGTATATACCATGGACACAGTTTATCTTGATATTCGGTGTCATGCCTTAAAATGGCTATTTTGGTTGAATGGAAGAAGTTTTTATTTGTTTATAAAAAAACTTCTCATGGTCTTTTAGTACCATCATGATATCCTTGCAGGGCGTTCTGAAAGTATATATTGCTTTAGGACTTTCAGCAATCTTTAGGATTCGTCTCTAAATACATAAGATGAAATTCCTATTTCGTTTTAGAATAACCATGTGCCATGCACATCCAGTACAGTAACTGTTGCTAGTGATGGGTCAGCATCTTACTTAGAGCCTAATATCACCAACACTTCTAGTGGGTTCCTAATAGTTCCTACAGAAAACAGAACAATTTCATTTTATGGATCGAAAAACCTGTGTACACAAGACTACCAGAAGCAGTTTCCAGAATTCACTTTATGTAAAGTTCATATTAATGTATTATACAACTAATATTTGCACAAGAATATACATATTTAAAGGAAATAGAGCTTTGATTGCATTTAATGTAGCCATTCATTAGAAACCATAACTTTATTTATCCAATGATAGTTTTTCATAAAGATTCATTGTGGCTTCAATTAAATAACAATTTAATTCAATAATATCTTATGTTTTAATACGGATTTATATTTTGTGGGACAAACTCACCTCTGAATGTTGCAAATGAACTGCTTGAAATCTTTCGTCGCTGCTGTAAGTGGTCAATCCAATGGTAAGGATGTGGAAATCTTTTCTTCGTATCCATGAGACCTAAACGTACAAGAAAAACATTTACTCGAGAGCTTAAACACTAAATTCTGTCATATGTACAATGTCCTACACCTATCTTCAACAGCGTTAATAGTCTTCTTTTAAGTCAGCTAAGTCGAGTACAAAACTTTTGACATAGGTATAGGACATTGCGTCTTCATGTATATATTATCGAATTTACTCCGTTTGTTGACAGGAAAAGTGATCAAGAAAATGAATTTCCCCAAGCAGAAATCATTTTTAAAAACCACAAGAATATTAGCGAAAAGCACGAGGTGGTTTAAAAACAAATATACTTGCAGGATTTGTGTTGAATTCTTTATGAGATATCGCCCGTTCTTTTGTTAGATTTAAATAAATATTGTGTGTACTCAAAAAGAAAATACGAGTATTATCCCTTGGGGATACACAAAGGAATTCATATGTTTATCTGGGAGCGTCAGCTGCAATATGTTTCAGAAATTTTAAAGAAAACTGACTTGCATATAAATATTTATATACATATATATATTATTGTGTTTTGATCTTTCATAATTAAGTAGATATTGTAATTAATTATTTTTTTACAATGTTTTAAAAGTCTAAAACCTATCCTCCGTGACTGTTACTCTTTCTAGGTTAACCTGTATGTTTTCAAATATTTGAGGTAGTAAAAGCATACTAAAAATATCAGTTCACTAAGTAAATTAAACACATCCAAAGCAATCGAATCAAATATAAAATATTATTAAAAATTTAAAGAAATAATTTTTATAACCATTTATGTAGGTGTTACAAAAATTGATTCTATTCTCCGTGAATCTGTTTTTGCTTTAAATTTTATGCAACGGATGGCGCTTTAATCATTTTAAATAAGCAAAAACCTCTGTTTACGACATTATAGATGCATGTGATTCCTGAAGGTCAGTTAGAATTTATATGCAGATGAGAGTGTTGCTGTTTTATAATTTAAAAGTTTAAGTTCATTAATTTGCTATTTAAAAACCTATCCACCGTGAAATGTAATATCTCAGTAAGTAGATTTTTTTTATAAATATTTTATGTATGTACAATTTTATTTTTTTAAAATATTAAGGTCAAAAGATACAATGACTTATTTTACAAAGAAATGTTTTATAATTTTAATACTTAATTTTAATTTTTAATATTTAAAAATAAAAATGAGATTTTGATTTGTGTGTGAAAATGTTGCTTTGTGCTTTATGTATAAATCAAAGCTTGTAACAATTGAACGCATTATTGCCGTCTATTTAAGTGTTTGTCAATGGCAGCACATATTGTCAAAAACAATTGGAAATGCCATTATTAATTTCCATTGACGTATTAACCTGTAAGTACAAAGCATCAACATTGAACCATATAAACGAGAATAAAGAAACTATGATAACATTTCTGCATTAGTGCCATTTTTTAATAAAAAAAGTCATTAAAGTAAAGCTGTTTTCATTGTTTACTTTGTCTGTGGCAGCCGCTAAGGTTAGACGTGTTTTATGAGCTCGGCGATTTTCGTTCGTTAAAAGAAATGGATCAAAGAATTTGTATCCAATTTTGCTTAAAAAATGAAATAAATTCTGTGAAATGTTAACAAAGGCCTATAGTGAGTCTGCTATAAGTAAAACAAGAGTTTACAAGTGGTATAAGAGTTTCCAAGAAGGCCGTGAAGACGTTGAAGATGACGAACGCCCCGAACGCACAAGCACATTAACAACCGATAAAAACATGGAAAAAGTGAAAGAAATGGTTATAAACCATCAGAGAAGTCGCTGATGATGTTGGTATATCGATTGGCTCATCCCATGAAATTTTTTCAAATGTTTTGGGTATGAAACGCGTGGCAGCAAAATTGTTAAATTTTGCACAAGATTTTTGGCCAGAAACAATACTGTAATGATGCCCCAGCCTCCATATTCGCCAGACATGCCTCTGTCTGACATTTTCCTATTCCCAAAAATAAAGAGAACCTTAAAGGGCCGTCGTTTTGCAAGCATAGATGACATTAAAAGCGCATCGCTGAAAGAACTAAAGGCTATCCCAAAGATCGAGTTTTAGAAGTGTTTCGAGTATTGGAAGAAGAGCTGGCACATGTGCATAATATCCAATGGGGACCATTTTGAAGGCGACAACATTAATGTAGACGAATAAATAAATATTTGTTTCAAAAAACGAAAATTCCCGATATTTTCTGTCTAATGAAAACATATAACTGCCATAAATTAAAATCAAGTGTACAGGTACAAATTGTACTGGATAATTAACAAACTCGAAACAGATAAATAGGTCGGATTCAAAATAGGAGAAGGCTAAATAGTTTGCCGCAATTAATGGCAGCGATATGGTAAATTAAGATTTTAATTTAGATAGCGTCCGAGGAGGTATCAATAAAATTTGCACACAGCGCAATTCATTTAGAACACAATTGTAAAAGGAATGAAGAGAATATCGCAAATTAAGGGAAGTAGGCAAAAAGGTTCTTTATTAAAACTTAAAACCTTTCACGGCTCATTAGTTCATTTTCTATCTAATTTGTTGCTTTGATGCTGCAGCATTACGTTTTTTTTTTCAATTTTGTACAGAATTTGTTAATGATGGAATAAGGCGGCTAATTGCAATTTACTATGCACAAAGCAAAAATATTCGCGCACGTGAAATTTTTTTTTATTAAAAATTCATCCACATTGTTTATATATCTTGAGATGTGGATAGGTTTTTAAATAGGTTTTTAAATAGCAAATTAATGAATTATGAAACAGCAACACTCATCTACTTTAATAATATTTTATGTTTGAATAGATTGCTTTGGAAAGAGTAACAGTCACGGAGGATAGGTTTTAGACTTTTAAAAAATCTGGAACCTGAGCTGTAATATCTACTTAATTATGAAAGATAAAAACACAATAAAAGTGTAGGTAAAACTCATTTAGTTTTATTAAATATCATCGTGGGGCATTTCGTAAGATTCACCCTTGTGCATATTGTTTAAGTGTGTTTTGACATAAATCACCAAGTTTTAATTGACGAAGTTCCTTAAGTCACTCTGTATAATAGCAACTTATCGAACAATGTTTCAAGGGTCATTTGCTCAAGCACTTCAGCCATAATAAACATCAAAATCAGTCTTCATAGCAAAATAAATTTGAGCAATTTATGTCTAATGCCCCAGATAAAGTATCAACATTCCCCCCCCAGAATTTTGTCAGAACGTGCGTAAACTTTGATAAATAAAAAATTTAAATACATTTTCTGCTAAACGTGAAATCCGTCTTAAAGAATTCTAACTGTGTCTAGACCTGTTTTTACTTAGGTAAGGTAAATCCTTGTAGAAACGTATGTAAAGTTTTGTTAAGCCATTTCCAATGTAGTCAACGACTTAAGGTCTTTTAAGATTTATATAGGGTGTATTTTAAAAATATTTTTTTAATTCAAGTCAACTTGCTTTAAAATAAGAATATATATTTCAACTAAAAATATTTAAATTCTTTAAAATAGAATTTTGTAGTTTTGGAAATATTCTAATAGTAAGAAACATTTCTTGTTTTAAAAAGTTGCATGTTTCAATCCAAATATTTAATATTCTTGAAGGAAATCTTAGTTAGTTTCTTGGTACAATTGTTAATATTTTTTATATCAAGAATAATATATTCTTATTTTTTTATTTGTTTTTTTATATTAAGAATTAGATATTCTTAAATTTTTTAATTCGTTTTAATAAACAGTATTTTCTTTTGCCACGAATAATTTTGAATTAATTTTTAATTAAAAGACGTATCATTATTTAAAATTTTATTGATTTTAAATGCAAAATGATAGATTTTTTTAAACATTGCTAAAAGTAGCTTTAAGATAGATACATATTATTTTTAACGATACTACTTGCATTGTTTTAAAATAAATATTATTTTGTAATCAATGAAATATAATTTAAAATCTTGTATCTATTAATTAAAAATATTGGGTTATAGAAAACAAATTGATTTAAGAAAATTATTGCCTTATTTCAATATCACATGTTTTTGTTTTAAGAAAATTTATTCTTGAATTATGTATCTTTTTTTTTAAGAATACCACTAATTTATTTTTAAAAGAACATATTCTTGCTTTAAAACAACCAATTATTTGGTTAAAGAACATACATTTTTTTAAATTAAGTAATTATTGCTGCCTTATTTCAAAAATTATATATTCTTGCTTTTAAACAATCAAAGTTTTATTTAAAGATAATTTTCTTACATTAAGGAAAGATTCTTGAAGTAAATCAACGTGAATTAAGAAAATACTTTACTAAGACAAAGATTGTTTTGAATCAAATAAATTTATTTGATACAAGAATATTTTTTTTTCAGTGTATGTAATTAAAGTTTCCACATACCATTCCATCTCCAATGTTGTTGATAACACATGGTACAAGTGCAGTGGACCCTGTTTGCGAGGTTACAATGGTACTATTTTCGGTCACAAAATGAACAGGTGGACTCGTAAGAGGTGGAAAAGAGGCTTCCAGTTCGTTAAAGTTTTCGGCCACATCAGGATCTGGATCTGAAACAATAATAAAAATATTTGTCATTAAAACTTTAGGTGACGCATATGCCATCAAGTCTAGAAGCATGTTATAGCTTGTCAGGCACTAACAGGGCAAGTGACGCGTGTCTTATTGCAACGTTTCGAAAATGGTTTATCTTACTAATTGCATCGAATATTGCAGTCTGGCAAAGTAAACGTCATCAAAGATGCCAATCTGCATGTGATTAGAGCTAGGTACCAAGTTATCAAATTGTTAATGAGACTTAATTGTTGAAATAAATATGAAATTAGCATAATTATGCCTACGTGCGAACTAATTTTGTTATCTTAATAGGACTAAAAGTTTATTTTGCTTTAACTCTTTGAGAGTCTCTTTGTAGTCTAAATATTTTATGGGCACTCGTTCTAGAAGTAGCAGCAACAAAATTGCTGAAAATACGCCGTTAAAAGGCACAAAAAGCGCAAGAGTAATCCAACGAAGATTGCTTATTCTCTTGTGGGTCTGGCCCTTGTTAAGTGACAACAATAATTGAAAAAATTAACTCTTTTTCTTGCGAAAAAATGTATCATGTTAACCTATCTACCTAGGCTGTGCATATCCAGAGATACCGCGTTGTGGAAGTGTGGCATTTTTGTTCAGTTAGATTTTAATTAAGGTGAATCCATAAGGGGACATTCTTATTTTTTGGTAAGTATTATACTTCCTTTTTCTTTAAGCCTTAATACTCAATAAATACCAATATGTTAAGAGGATGTCCATACCCGTCCTTTATTATATATCAATAATTTACGGCAGTAGGTCGGGTACTTGTAACATTAATAATATAAATACATACACACTTGATTTACTTTTTATTTTCAAGCGTAATGGTTGTTATATTAACCTATTCCTACATTTTTATAAATATTATGAAAAATTTGTACACGTGTGGTAAATCCCCGACATACAGCCGCCTGACGCCTCTCTACCAATGGGATCACCCATTTTTTATAACAGAAAAATGGATTACTGATGAATTCTCAAGATAATTGATTGCTTACAAGTTGACAGCCAGTAAAACATTGCATTGATCTAAAACTTTTACGTTTTAAGGAACCATTTTGCTTAAGCCAGCCATACGACTCAAATATAAAATTATATTTTAAATGGCACCGATTTTGATAATTGTCATAGATTTTTGTTCCAAATAAATGTTTCTCTTTATTTACTTTTTCGTTTTATTCACTACAACCAATAGGTTTTACTTAAATAATAGTGTTAATTTACACTGGAAGTTTGCACTAAAAGAGTAAAAGTACCTTTTTAAATTAGAACTTTTCCAAAGTAGTGTTAATTTACACTGATCAAAAGTGGGATTTTACCCAGGAAGTGTAGAAGTACACGATTTTAGGTAAATTAACACTTTTTAATACAGTGTACTTATTCCTCAGTACTATAGTGTTAAATCATACTTGCTTACTTGGGGAAAATTACACTACAAATTAATTCTAATTGTAGTGTTATAAAACAACACTATTTATTGTGGACCTGTGTGAACTCTAATTAGTGTTTCTTAGAGTTGATTTTTTTTACTGTGTAGTACATATGTAGCTAAGTGTAAATAATAAACGAGATAAACTTTGGTCATGGTAATGCTGAAACTTAATTTGTCAGACGGTCTTAGCACGGCAAGTAACCTGAATTATCAAGGGCATTGAAAGACTTATTAATTCAAAGAGAGCCCAACTTTATGTTTGTAAAGGTGATTTTGTCCGAGACCAATAATTTAATATTAATTAAAAACTGTTTAATTATGTAATAGAGAACGAAACAAAAAAAAGTTTTTATAAAAATCTAATGCGCTTTTATTAAAAGGTAGGTAAGCCGAAAGTAAACAACATTATTAAAAATAACTTTTGTATTACACTTCAAAAGTTTTCAACTTTTCATTATTTCCCTTTGTGATTATTTTTATGTTTTAAAACGAATTTTATTACATTTTTAAAAGTATTAAGTTACTTAAAATGTTCTACCTTTAAAATTTGCTTCATCCATCATCTATCATCCTCGAGTTCTTTTTAGTTAATAGGGATAACAAGATCACTTTTTAAATGGATTTATTTATACTGAAGACAGAAAAAGAAGCAGGTTTAACGACGGCAGTACGGCTTCAGCAAATCGAATCAATGATTCCGAAGCTGTTTCGTTAAACTTAACGAGGGAGTTAATCTAAGCACCGACTGGATAATAAACCCGTTTCCCACTTTAATGGTACAAAGAAAGATAATAGACTACTTAATTGGGCATTTTGTTGTAAACTTTCAATCAAGACGTCATACACTGTTACATAGTAAAAAAATTTGCCCGTAAAAATATTAGAGTTAATTTGTAAGTGTAAAAGTTACACTACAAAATACACTAGGTAGCATTTAGTGCTTATTAACTTTATTAAACACATTTAAAGAATATGAACATTATTCATTGGTACATTCACACTATTTATTATTAAAATAAATCAAAAGGGTAGAAAAACTTAATGCGAGTGTTTATTACCCCTTAATGTGTTAAATAGTGACAAAATGTACACTACAGTGCATGCCAATTGATGTTACTAAGATCTCTTTTTTCTTTACACTACTAGTGCACATTGTATCACAATTAAAGTTAAATTACACCAATAGTGGCAAAATAGACTGAAAAAACTGTCAATAACCGAAATGCCTTTTAAAATGTTTGGTTGGTACCTATCTACCTAGGCAGTGCATATCCGGAGATACCGCGTTGTGGAAGTGTGGCATTTTTGTTCAGTTAGATTTTAATTACGGTGAATCCATAAGGCGACATTCTTATTTTTTGGTAAGTATTATACTTCTTTTTTTTTAAGCCTTAATACTCAATAAATACCAATATGTTAAAGGGATGTCCATACCCGACCTATATTATATATCAATAATCTACGGCAGTAGGTCGGGTACTTGTAACATTAATAATATAAATACATACACACTTAATTTACTTTTTATTTTCAAGCGTAATTATATTAACCTATACCTACATTTTTATTAATATTATGGAAAATTTGTACACGCGTGGTAAATCCCCGACATACAGCCGCCTGACGCCTCTCTACCAATGGGATCACCCATTTTTTATAACAGAAAAATGGATTACTGATGAATTCTTAAGATAATTCATTGCTTACAAGTTGACAGCCAGTAAAACATTGCATTGATCTAAAACTTTTACGTTTTAAGGAACCATTTTGCTTAAGCCGGCCATACGACTCAAATATAAAATTATATTTTAAAAGGCACCGATTTTGATAATTGTCATAGATTTTTGTTCCAAATAAATGTTTCTCTTTATTTACCTTTTCGTTTTATTCACTACCATCAATAGGTTTTACTCAAATAATAGTGTTAATTTACACTAGAAGTTTGCACTAAAAGAGTTAAAGTACCTTTCTAAAATTAGAATTTTTCCAAAGTAGTGTTAATTTACACTGAACAAAAGTGGGATTTTACCCAGGAAGTGTAGAAGTACACGATTTTAGGTAAATTAACACTTTTTAATACAGTGTAAAATTACTTTATCCTCAGTGCAATAAAAGTGCCTAAAAAAATAAAAAACTTATGTTTTCACGAATCCAAAATTTGACTGAGAACATTGAATATGTATGATGGTGGAGGAGTTGTTTACAGAGTCTCTGGTGGCGACATTTGTCAAAGCTAACACAGCAGGCGAAAGCGAATATGCGATTTCTAATTTTCCATGCAGCTGTCGCACTTTTCCGATTTAATTATAACTGATTTTGCCCGTTTTCACTACGTTGATCATCCCTGTTTTAACTCATCTACATACATTAAATTTTCATTTGCAGGAGCACAAGACAAAAAGTTATAAATCTCTTTGAATAATCGGGCTGTGGTTGCCAAATTTAGCAAAGCATTTAAATATTACTATGGCGTTATATTCTAATATATATATAGTAATTTTACACTGTATTAAAAAGTGTTAATTTACCCAAAATCGTGTACTTCTACACTTCCTGGGTAAAATCCCACTTTTGTTCAGTGTAAATTAACACCACTTTGGAAAAGTTCTAATTTTAGAAAGGTACTTTTACTCTTTTAGTGCAAACTTCCAGTGTAAATTAACACTATTATTTGAGTTAAACCTATTGGTGGTTGTGAATAAAACGAAAAGGTAAATAAAGAGAAACATTTATTTGGAACAAAAATCTATGACAATTATCAAAATCGGTGCCTTTTAAAATATAATTTTATATTTGAGTCGCATGGCTGGCTTAAGCAAAATGGTTCCTTAAAACGTAAAAGTTTTAGATCAATGCAAAGTTTTACTGGCTGTCAACTTGTAAGCAATGAATTATCTTGAGAATTCATCAGTAATCCATTTTTCTGTAATAAAAATTGGTGATCCCATTGGTAGAGAGGCGTCAGGCGGCTGTATGTCAGGGATTTATCACACTTGTACAAATTTTCCATAATATTAATAAAAATGTAGGTATAGGTTAATATAACAACCATTACGCTTGAAAATAAAAAGTAAATCAAGTGTGTATGTATTTATATTATTAATGTTACAAGTACCCGACCTACTGCCGTAAATTATTGATATATAATATAGGTCGGGTATGGACATCCTTTTAACATATTGGTATTTATTGAGTATTAACGCTTAAAGAAAAAGGAAGTATAATACTTACCAAAAAATAAAAATGTCCTCTTATGGATTCACCGTAATTAAAATCTAACTGAACAAAAATGCCACACTTCCACAACGCGGTATCTCCAGATATGCACTGCGTAGGTATATAGGTACCAACCAAACATTTTAAAACGCATTTCGGTTATTACCAGTTTTTTCAGTCTATTTTGCCACTATTGGTGTAGTTTAACTTTAATTGTGATACAATGTGCTCTAGTAGTGTAAAGAATAAAGAGCTCTTAGTAACATCAAAACAGACAAAGAAATTGGCATGCACTGTAGTGTACATTTTGTCACTATTTAACACATTAAGGGGTAATAAACACTCGCATTAAGTTTTTCTATAGTATACACTTTTGATTTATTTTAATAATAAATAG